ACAGCCTTGGAAATCTTATGGGGCAGTTCTACTCCATCCTACAAAGTTGCTATGAGCTGGAATCAACTTGATGACCACAGAATCTTTTAGATCTCAGTCACTTCCTTCTAGAAGTCTACCCCAGATTTTGTAGCAGCTGTCACAATTCAAAGTTTAGATTTATTTGAGTGATTATTTGCTTAATATGTGTCCCCATTCAACTATAAACTTCAAGAGATTAAGGACTATAAGCACTGCACTTGTTTTTGCTTATCATAGTATCCACAGTGACTAGCACATATCACCTATTCAAAATATATTTATTGGGTGAATGAATGGAAATATAAACCAAGATATTGAAATATGAAAAACTTTGGAAGAAGAATAAAAAAGGATAGGAAAGGAGTACAAATATAAAGTATAAAGCAGGAAGTGGCATAAATTAAAACTGAAGAAGTCAGCATGGGCTAAATCATGGATGGTTTTGTATGTTCTGTTAAGAACTGTCTTTATCACTCAGGCAATGTGGAACTTGTGAAGGGTTTTTAAGCAGGGGAAATGATATCATCTGTTTCGTACTTTAGATACATTGCTCAGGCTGCATGCGCTGTGGAGAAACAATTAGAAGGGGCAATGAGATGGATGAAGGCCTAAACTAGGACAGTGCTTTAGGAACGGAGAGTAAGGCCAAACTTAAAGATCAAGTGTCTGAGAAACCTCCAGGGTAAGGATAACTCTAAGGTTATCAATTAAGATCAAATGAGAACATTAATGTCAAAGTGTTTTATATTCACAAGTTACTTTCCTTTATACGTCTACATCTTACCTTTCCTGCTAGATTACAGAAATCTTGAGAGTTGGGATCAAGTGTTATGCATCTTTATAATCATGACAGTATTTCTTAGAGTGTCTTGCATATAATAAACACTTAAGTTTGATCAAATAAGTTAAATGGATGACATGATATGAAAGAGAGAGCCAAGTTTATACCCCCACTTCACTCCAAAAGCAGCTCTGGTGTAGTGCCTAAGGCATTTGACTGCTAACCAGAAAGCTAGAAGTTCAAACCCACCAGTCACTCCTCAGAAGGAAGGTTGGGCATTCTACCTCCATAGTTGATACTGCCTCGGAAACCCAAGGAGGGGTTGCTATGAGTCAGATCTGACTCAATAGCAGTAGATTCAGTTTTGATTTTTCACTCCAAAAAGGAACTGAGGCCACTAACATGCATAATTATTTGGCCACTCCACTCTGCTTACTACCTCACCAATATATTTTTGTTTTCCGTGCTCTCATCATTCCCTCATCAGGTATAACACCTCTCCTACCACCATGTACTTATGGATCTATCTAAATCCTTTTTCTCCTGCAAGACCAAATTAAAAGCACCTACCTTCTCCATTAAACTTTTTATTCACTTCAATTCCAAATGATCTTTCTTTTCTCAACTTGTCCATTGTTGTTGTTGTTGTTATGTGCCATCGAGTCAGCCCTGACTCATAGCGACCCCTCCTTGGGTTTCTGAGGCAGTATCACTACAGAAGTAGGATTGCCCAACCTTCCTTCCGAGGAGTGGCTGGTGGGTTTGAACCGTCAGCCTTCTGGTTAGCAGTCAAGTGCCTTAGCCACTATGCTACCAGAGCTCCATATCATTTATCATATAGATCTGCATTACATTATATGCAATAGCTCCAACTAGACTTTAAGTTCACTAAGTCTAGGAACAAATAATTTTCAGAGATACCCTGGAAAACTTTAAATGTAAATTGTAGGTATGATAGAAAAAAAAAATTTTTTCTAGAGTGGCCTTGCTTTATTTTAATCTAGCAGAGGAATCTGAAATAAGATCATCTTAAATATAAAATACTAACCTAACCCTGAACTTCCATAAATTAAATGTCATTAGTTGATTATTTCTATCATATTACATTTTCCAATGAAGTTGTTAAGATTTAAAGTACAGGAAGGAAAACATACAAAATCCCTGTACCTTCTTTTTATCTCTCAAGTACTTAGGCTAATGTCTAACAGGTAAGAATCTGAAGTCAGATGGTACCTGGTTACTAAAAAATATCTGATCAAGAAAATGAATGACCTAGATTTACTATTTCAGCTGTGAAGCATTCTAGTTGTGAACCATGCACATACTTAACTTCTGTATGCCTATGCAGTGTCATCTATAAAAACAAGCAGATATAATCTACCCTACCAAAATATGAGACAATTGTGTGAAGTGTTTAAACACAGTGCCTGCCACGTAATAAACACATAATAATAATAGCTATCATTATCATCAGAGTCTCTGGCTGGTGCAAATGGTTAATATGCTTGGCTGCTAACTAAAAAGCTGGAAGTTCAGGGCTGCCTAGGGGCATGCCAGAAGAAAAGCCTGCTGTGGTAGTTAAGTCTGTGTGTCAACTTGGCTGGGCCTGGTTGAGTGGCTGGGCAGTTGGATACAGTATTCCCCACAATGAGAATGATAATCAACTCCATGGTGGAATCTACTGTGAACAGATGAGCTGCCCTAGGGATGTGGTCTGCTTCCTGCATATAAGGAGAAGCCTTGAGGAATGGTCTCTAGCTTATGGCATGCCAATCTACTTCCTAAAAAACAGCGATTAAAAACTCTATGGAGCACACTTCTACTTCGACATACATGGAGTCCCTATGAGTCAGAGTGGACTCCATGGCAACTGGTGATAGGAGGGATCATATGATGACTACTACTAGATACCATTAAAAAAAAAAAAAAAAAAAGCTACCATGCAGTCAATTCCAACTCAAGGCAACTCTATGCGTTGCAGAGTAGAATTGCACTCCATAGGGTTTTCAAGGCTGTGACCTTTTGGAAGCCAATCACCAGGCTTTTCTTCCAAGGTACCTGTGGGTAGGTTAGGTCTGAATCACCATCTAGTCAGGTTTTTAACCATTTGTGCCACCCAGCGACTCCACTCATGTCATTAGTCATTAGAAAAATACAAATTAGAAAACCTCAATGAGACCACTATAAATGGCTAAAATTAAAAAGACTGACAATGCCAAATACTGGCAAGGATGTGAAGCAGCTGCAACTTTTTCGTACACTGCTGGTAAAAATACAAAATGGTACAGTCATTTTATAAATTAAATATACACTTATCATATAATGCAGAGAAATGAAAATGTGTCCACCCAAAGATCTATATACAAAAGTTCATAGCAGTTTAATTCATAATAGCCCGAAATGAAACAACTCAAATGTCTATCAACTGATGACTGGATAAACAAATGGATATACAATGGAATACCACTCAGCAATAAAAAGCAACAAATGATCAAGACGTGTAACAAGGTTAAATCTTTTTTTCAAAAAGCATTATGCTAAGTGAAAGACGCCAAAAGCAAAAGACTGCATATTGCATGATGCTGTTTATATGAAATTCTGAAAAAACAAAACTATAGTGATAGAAAGCAGACTAGTGATTATCTGATGCTAGGATTTAAGAAAGGGGAACTGACTGCAGAAATTTATGGATTTCATTGTAGGTATATGCCAATTAAGTTAAAAAAAATCATTAGAAAGATAAACAAAAATTATCACTTGTCTCCCTTTCTATAGACATTTTCCAAAATATTTTAAGTGCATCCAATATGCTTTACTTACATTTTTTCTTTTTAACATAAAAACCTATAATCCCAAAATCATTATTAATGCATTTCATAATCTTCTCTGGTAAAGAGTAAACAGATTAAAGACATGATACACTGTTGTACTATTGGGCTTTATCATCAAATAAGTTGGGTAATCAATAATCAAATGTCCTTTTTATTTCAAAGATAACTATTTTACTCATAGATATATACTACTTTTCCCATTTAGACTTTAAAATTTTTAATTTAGATCATTATTCTGACAGGTTTAAATTCTTAATTAAAATGATTTACTGTTCATTACCACTTTGTTCTTAATATCATATTTAGATGGGAGAGGTTTAAAGGTACTATTTCAACATTTAAATTTCAGACAAATTAATATCCAATAAAATAAACTTAGCTGTGCCAGAAGCAGATAGAATGAAAATGATTTAACTATCATAAAAGTCTTAGGGGATAAACCAAAAAGTAGCTAGATGGTAACTTACAGGGCAGACTTGGCCCACAAATTTATGTTCACTCAGACTGCACAATGTGCTAAAAATGAAAAGATTTCTCATCTAGATTTTCAGTGTCTCTTAAAAAATCAGAAACTCTGGCAGTTCTAAATTACAACTACCAACTAAGGCTAGGAAGACACTGCCCCTTTAGACAGGGCTTGTACTCTTCAGTTTGCCCAACCCCCGAACACTTACATCCACCAGGCTTCACTTACTGTCACTACCTGCCTGGACACATGCACCTGAGTTCTCTTCTATTTGCCTCAACCAACCATAACTGAGAGGTGAAGTCAAAGTCATATATGGAAGGAGTTTTCCCTAGGTTTATTATACCTATTTCTCCCTTACAGATAATTTGGGTTAAAAAAAAAAAAAAAAAGAACGCTAGTTATTAATAACAAAGTATAATGAAGCAGATGCTCTCCAAAATGTATTCAGAATGTTCACGTTGTGATACAGTGTGTATGAAAATTATAATGATTTAGCATTCTTCCATGCTAAGCACCAACAAAATCTAGATTCTAGAATTTTGCTCACTACCTTCATTAAAGCCATTTCTATGCGTAAAATCAAACCAACAAAAATAAAGCTTGTTTCTCTACCATAAAACTGAGCCATGTACAAAAAGAGCACATGAAACACAGTTAATGTTTTAGCAAAAGGGTAAAACAAAACATAGCAATACATTAAGAAGGAAAAAGGAATGTAAGTACTATTAGCTAAAGTTTTACTATTATTTATTCCATTTATTTAATGAAAAGGGAAACTGCAACTATACCTTTGAAGTACTTGCTAAGATATCTTTTTTCAGTTCCCAAAGAACATTTTGGAAAGCACTAGATACAGAGAACCATATGTTAGTAGAAAAAGAAAATCAAACAGACTTACCCGCTCTGTAGTGGCCTCCTCTCCTGGTAGACATGCAGCAGCAGCACAAGCTATTTCCATAACAGCTGAGCTAGTAGGAGCATCAGTCGTGGATGAAGATCTGGGCCGGCCTGACTGCATAATAGCTGCCATCTCCTGGCCAGATTTCCTGTTGATTTGGGGACTTCCCTTTGGAGCCTCTGGTTTCCCCCGCCTACTATGTAAGCTTGTCCCTCTCTTCATCTTGGGTGGCACTCGGATCTGTTGCAGGACTCGATTCAGGGCTGTAGGGTGGGTGGAGACACCATCAATCTCAGCACATGTGTTCTGGCTTTCCAGCTCCATTTCAGGCTCTGGATCTGCCTGAATTTGCTGCACATCGTGTGGGGACACTGATGACCTCCTGCGCTGGTGCTGGAAGAGATGCTTCAAGCCTTGGCCAATCACATTAATGTTCTCCAAAGCATTGTGGGTCATTTTAGACAACTTTTGTTCTGATTCTGTCTGCTTTTTGGCCTCTGCATCTTGGGATTTGCCTCCAGGATCAGGGTCCTCATATAACTGTTCACTGCCTGAAGGCTCCATTAGTAGATTTAAATACGCTTATTTGCAAACTCAAAATTTTTTAAACACACCAAGACTGTCAAATTAGGTAGGCATTTGCTTCAACAGTGACTATACATGCAGCTGTGAGACGGAGGCTTCATGCCTATCTAATGTATAAAAAAAATAAAAATAAAAAAGAACTTCATATTATAAATCCATGCAGAAACTCCATTGTTACATCAACAACAACAACCAAAAAAAAAACATGCAGCTAGCCAAACAAATAGGCACTATCATTAAGCAGTCTTTAATCAGAAGATTAAAAAGCAGTTTTCTAGATAGTGGATAATGATTATTTAGTAGAATAGGAGAAAAAGGCCAGAGCAAGTACATAGGAAATTTTTTTAAAAAAAGCAAAGTTAACAACAACAAAAAATCCTACAAGATTCAATATATGAAGAATTGCATTAAAGGACCCATCTTAGAGTGAATATAGTAGCTGACAGGACATTCACTGCTTGGTAAATCAAGAAAGAACAGACCATTCAATGTGTTTAGTCCAGCTGAAGCAATCTAAGCCCTCTCATTCATAACCACAGTTAATTATTTATATGCTGAAACGCAGTGAGATAAATCCAAACAATAGTGAAAAGTAGACATCTCAATCTAACTATATGTGGATTTTAATGAAAAACAGGTATTTCTTGTTACTACTCATATTCATCAAATTCACCGGTAACTAGAAGTGACAAGGTTGCTCTTGTGAAAAGACAAAGGAAATACAAAATCTTACAAATTGAATTTTTGACCATTCTGGCACCATATGACTCAATGGTCCAGATGGAATCAGACTTCAGAAAGACTATAGAGTTTTGCTCAGTTACCAGCTATCAAGAGAAATCCCCTTCTGTGAATAGTGTTATTTTTGACAGAAGCTTCCCATCTACCCACACAAACTCAAAAGCAGAGAATTAACAAAGTAACTGGGTATGACAAAAAAGTAGAGAAAAAGAAAAGTCAAATAGCAACTACACATCAATATTAAATACAGTAAACTAAAAGGAAGCTGAAACTAAAAGATGTAAAAAGTCGGTACAATTATTGAGATCACATGCAAAAAAAACTGGGGGGTAAGACGCTGGATGAGATTTTTCATAATAATGTTTATTTTTTCAATTGAGCTTCTGAACTATATAAAACAAAACTGTATTAATATACAGAAGTTGCTAAGGAGGAAAAAATACTGCCTAGGAGCTTCTTTATTATCAAGTTTTTCCTCAATTTTTTGTTTCAAGGGCTTTGAAACTCCCTACAGGGTCAAGTGGGAGCTCTGGTAGCATAGTGGCTAAGGCACCTGACTGCTAACCAGAAGGCTGGCGGTTCAAACCCACCAGCCACTCCTCGGAAGGAAGGTTGGGCAATCCTACTTCCGTAGTGATACTGCCTCGGAAACCCAAGGAGGGGTCGCTATGAGTCGGGTCCCACTCGACGGCACATAACAACAACAGGGTCAAGTACTTTGAACAATCCAAGTTACTACCAATGAAGCATATGCTGGGGTTTGTGACTCTTTGCCACTAATTGGCAATCTAGAAGTCAAAAAGTAGTAAGACGTAAGAATTAACTATGAACTCAAGGCTACTAGAGTTTAGAAGAACAAGAATGCAAACCCACTAGAGTCTGCTTCCTGCTGAGTACTCTCAGACCATCATACCATATGATACGGACACATAGTTTCTGGCATTGTTTGTGTCTTTGCTATCTATATTCTCTCATGCCTATTTTCCCATCTCTTGATCTCTTCATGACGCAGGACCACAAACAGGAAAACAAGTTAGAGAAATCTGTCTCTCACCAGTGCCTTTCTGCTTTCTAAATGTTACAAAATTCTTTGTTCCCAAACTGACAAAGGAGGAACAGCTGTGAAAACACAAACTTTAGCCCAAATTCTTTGTGGCCCCACTGAAATCTTGCCATACCACTGCGGTATCGCACCCTTTTCTTGACTGTGTGTTGCCTTTTTTTTTTCCTCTTCCCCTTTCTTTTTTCCCTTTGGGAGAGCCAAGAAAGAGTTTAACCTTTCTGAGAGTAACAAAAGCCTCTGGTGTCTACCTAACTTTTTGAGGGCTCATTGTGGATGCAAAATTTTGTCAATAGTGTATATATTAATTATCCTTGTTTTTCCTCATGAGTTTATCTGATAGAGTAATAGTTACTGAATTATTTCCACTCTTGAAAAGCACTGAGCTCCACAAAGGAAATGGGCTATGTAATCAAGATATGGTAATCCAGTAGTAGTATTATCTCTTCTTGTACTGAATGACCCTGAAAAGATGGGAGGATATGAAAGCAACAGGCTGATAATGAGGAGATGGTTTACTTTTTTCCCTTCTTCATATTGCTAAATCATACAACTGCTTTGCTGTTGTTAGAAAGAAAAGGTATGAAATAAGCTTATCCTATGAGATTAAAACATTCCCTGAATAAAGGAAAGATGTCAAGATTAGCTGAACCAAACAAATGACCTACTTGCTCCATATACTAAGATATTAAGAACTTATCGTACAGCAAATCTCTATGTGTGTGGCTTCTTATTAAAAATAGACACACTATGGTACATTTAAAGTGTCAGTAGCTAACTCCATTTCTCCATCATTTATTTTCAAATAATTGTAAATAATGATTGATTACAAGTAAATGCCAACATTACTTAGGAAAAACTTAGCTAGTAGGGTGTTGATTTTTGAATCAAGACATGCAGGCTGTCTTCACAGCTATAAAGACTAAGTACTAGAATAGTAATTTATTCCAGGATTTCTAAAGGCAACAGTTGCCTTAATCATACCAACTAGTATAGGCTCACAAATCATGGAGCTTATCTAAAGAAACACAATATAAGCATTAAATAGCTGGTTGTAAGATAAGAATTTTTAAACAAACAAAAAACCTACTGCATTGATTATAAACTGCAATCTAGTACGTAATTACACTTATATTTATCTATCATCATTACTGCTGTGGTATTACCACAAATAAAAAAAATGGTCAAAATTCTGAGGCATGATAAAATTTCTATAGTCTCACAGAAAATCTTTGAGGAGACCTTCCAATATATGCAAAATATTGTGGAAATTCAAATGTTGTGTCAAAAATACCAAAAAACTGGAATGTTATAATAATTAATAACCCGATAAAACTGCTGACAGCAAGAAACAAGCACTAAACGAATTCAATACACAGTTTTTCAGGACTCCCTTATTTCCTTCTACAAGATAATAAAACTCAAATAAATGATAACTATTATTCATTTTATAAAATTCTTCAAATAACTACATTGAGACTCCCTGTTTTAATACAAACAAGTTCAACTGCAAAGCCAAATTGGCTTTCATAACAAGGAATATGTTGGCTTCTCTTTTATTCACTCAGCTTCTCTGAAAGTCAAAGTTCTTATAAGTAAAGCCAAAAAAGTGTGGAAAGGGTAAAGAGGTACTGGGAAAAAGGGGAGAAGAGGGAAGGAGTAAAAAGGAAAAAGAAGAGGGAAAGGCAGCCACCCACAGACAAGACATTTCAGCTAATTTTGTTAAATTCTCAAAATTTTGAACAATTTTTCTACCACAGTTTTACCAAAGACATACTAATATACCATTAGTTCACACTTAAGTAAGTCATTCTAAATTAGTATCAGAAATAAGAAAAAATAAAGAATAAGAAAAAATTGTTTTTAAAATTTTGTCAAATGTTTAGGCAGCACTTGCTCTACAAAACCATTTCAAACAATATACAAATTATCTTTCTTCTTTTGCCCAAGATTTTCTTTCCAAATTTTTATTGTTTTGGTATATCAGATTTGGTAATCAAAAACTTTTGGTCTGGCCACGAACCAAGTTAATTCCACTAACTATAAGGAGTTGGGTACTTGCCTTCATCACTCTTCCTCAAGTACTTCTAAGGTTTACAGGATCCTTTTAGGAGAAGCTGAAAGGCAAACAATAATTATATAGTGAGAATTTTAGAGGAGCAAACTTATCTACTGTAGATACCTAGGAAGAAAACGGAAAATATATACAATAAAATGTTAACAATGCTTATTGCTCACTGGTAGGATCACGATCATCTTTTTCTACCACTTTTCAATACACATTTTCTAATTTTTAAAAGCAATCAAGAACAAAGGTACTTTTGAAAAGAATATTAACTTGTTAGCACTTAAAAAAGATAAAGTATCATAAGTAAGTCGTTAAGTAGCAATGAATACTTTAAACTATACTGAATTAGGAATAAATATCCCATTACTTCTAATCTTAAAGCAACATGACAGGCGGGGCAAGATGGCGGACTAGGCAGAAGGATTGCACAGACCCTCTTCAACAAAGAAAAGGGAAACCAATTAACACAGA